GGGGTCCCGGGTTCGATTCCGGTCAAGGGCATGTACCTGGGTTGCGGGCACATCCCCAGTAGGAGATGTGCAGGAGGCAGCTGATCGATGTTTCTCTCTCATCGATGTTTCTAACTTTCTATCTCTCTCCCTTCCTCTCTGTAAAAAATCAATAAAATATATTTAAAAAAATTGTTTAAAAAACATTTTCTAAATCAAATATGAACAGACTTTGGAATATGTGGGCCACCGACTACCTTATGCCCAAACACCACTGAGAGACACATGCACTCAACCTTGCTCTCATGCTGGCCGCCGGAACAGCTGGCGCCACACTCGGGGTGTAAGAAATGATTTGGTTTCAGCAAAACAACATCATTCTTCTTATTAGTACTGTTATTTATTTCATTTTTTTCCTGGCTGAAAACCAAGTAAATAAATAAAAAAGCTCTTAATGGATCATGAGCTACGGTGGCTTCAGATTTCACTTTTAGGGCCAAGATTTTACTAGGCAAAAGAAAGTGCCTAAGGGAATAGGTTAAAAGTGCCTAAGAGACTAGGTTAAACCGTCAGCAGTCCCTCCAGTGGCCCCGAGAAAACCTAGCTAGTCATTCCCTGGGGGAAGATGAGTAAGAGCACTGCAATACTGCCTGATATTCTGAATCTTTGGGCCCAACGATTCCATTCCTATTAATTTTCTCTAAAAGCATCAGCAGATAGGTGCACAAAGATATGCATGAAAAGATGCTCACTACACCTTTTAATAAAAGTAAAAAAAAAAGAACAGATTAATGAGAAATTGGTTAAAAATGTAGTAACTGCTGAACGGAATATTATGCAGCCAAATAAAATAATCTATTGATACGTCTATAATATGGAAAGTTCTCCCCGGCATATTCAAAAACAAACAAACAAACAAAAACAAAATAATCCAGAAAAATAAACCAGCATGTAATGCAGATCTCATTTTTATAAAACAAAATATACAGGAATATGTCTGTATAAAAAGGTTCTAAAGGATACACACAAAATGTGAACACTGTTTCTGGATATAGGTAGCTATTTTTCTTTTGGCTTCTCTGTATTTTCTAAATTTTTCTACAACAAGCATGTTCTGTTTTGATAATAAGAAAAGCAAAATGATGAGTTAGTTTTACAGCTTGGTGACTCTGGGGGTTGCGGGGGTGGGGCGGGTAGCCAGCGTGTACCTTGAACCTCCTGTCGTACTTGGTCACTGTGTCTGCAAAATCGATCTTCTCTCTCTTGCCCACGAACTGCTGGAGCTCCGGGTGCTCCTCCATCCCGATGTAATCCCCGATGAAGTTCCTGTTGATGCTGTTTCTCCTCCTCTAACAAAAACAGACAAGGGAGGAGGGTCAGGCCCCCGGAAAAGGAGAGTCACACAGACAAACTCTGAAGGGATGCAAGATTTTTCACGCACAACATATGACATGCAAAGGACAAAAACTTGTAACTGTCATCTAAGCTCAAACTTATTTTTGAGGCTTGTCAAACACACGAAACAAACTGACGGAAATACCTTCTTCCCTCATTTGGACGTATTTCTTCCGGGCCGCGAATTTCCTCCAGGATTTCTGTATCACTCGAGCATACCCATCGTACTTTCTCTCTCTCATTTCCTCCAGGAGAAATAGCTGTGAACGTCAAGAAGACAAATGGGAGCCAGTTCAGAAGACCTGAGCATCACCTCTGTTTGGTTACACCAGGGGCACTTGGTTTAGTCCACGCCGCACGTGGCAAGCAGCTCCTCACACGCGGGCACCAAGGTGAAGAAGTGACTGGTAGGGGATGTTGTTTAACTTTTATCTACACATATTTTTCTCTTTTAACAACAACAACAACAAAAAAGGAAAATAGTTGGATCTAAGTGTATCCAATGGGACCTTAATAATGGTATCTGCTCATACTCTCTGTGAGAGTCAAATGAATGCTTCAGAATTTCTCCACTTATTCCCCACCTCGATCCAAAGAAGATCCAATGAGTTGGTGGGGGCTGCTGGTTAGTGTTGCAGAGAGTCTCTTAACAGAACGTCCTGGCTTTACCAGGAGCCGAGTTTGTGCTGCTGTGGAAGGAGGACTGCCAGCGCTCAGTTCCATGGAAGTGTAGGGAGTTCTCCCAGGAGCCCCGGGACCGAGGACAGTCGCCATGGTGATGTGCTGGCTGGAACCTGGGTTCACCAGGAGGGACCGAGGCTGCTTTGTTTAAGGGCCCATATCAGACGCTGACAGGTATGAGACTCGGGCCATTTTAACAATGAATACTGACTGTTGCCCCACTCAGTGGAGTTCTGGAATAATGAAGACGATAGCAATGAGCTGTGATGTACGTGTGCCTGCTGTGGGTCAGGGGTCATTCTAGACTCTTTACATGCTTTCTTTTTCCCGTTCAACCCCCAACAACTGCACGAGCACCTATTCCTATGATCTCCATTTTACAGATAAGGACACTGGAACTCAGACTGGTTGGGGCTGGAAAGTGCATCACAGGCCCTCAGGCTCTGCCTCCCTTTGACACAGAGTCCTTCTCGACAAATCTGCATTTGTTCCACTCATAAAACCGTGGGAAACTTTTGCATTCACCTAGGAAGTGGTTCATGTGACTCTCTAGGAAAAATAATAAAATGCACCAGTAAAAACCCAAGTAAAAGAGGATGCACGATCATTGCAAAAGTGTTCCAGAAGTGAACAGCATACTTGGTTTGAAGGCAGCTGGGCTTGATTTGTTGTCTCTGTTTATCTGGGTCTAACACAGGAGCCACCACATCTACCCCCTCCTGTCACTCAACTTCCCCTCCCCACAGCTCCAGCTGTGCAACAACAACATCTCAAAGGAAAACTACCAAGGGCAGGCACTTCACTGCAGCTTACAGGGCCACGTACAGCAGGCAGAGAAGCACATTCCAAAACCAAAAGAGCCTGCGTGGTTTCGCATGGACAGAATGTCTACAACGGTGGCCTGCGGTTGCCTGTTGTAGGAATATTCGTTGGTGTTTCTTATCTTGTGTGTTGGGTTTTTGTGTAAGTCTTGATTTCTTCTTTCCCAGAACTATTCTGAGAGCGCCAGAGAAAATACACCGTGACTCAGAAAGGATGGGGAACCAATTCCCAACTTCCTATAGACTATTTCAAAGATTAGCTGGGTTTTAGGTTCTTTTCAAAGGCCGTGTGGGTTCGAAGTCAGGGAAGTTGAAGAAAAAGAGAGAAAACAAAAACAGAAACCCCCTATTGCAGACACATGTAACAAATAAGCAAAACCAAACCCTGCGGTGCCTGATGGCTCATGTGGGTTCTTAAAACAAATGGGTTATTTCGTATATTCAGCACATTCACTGTACAAGTCAAGGCAAAAAAATCACAAAGTGGATTTTTAAAAACCAGTATTTTGTACAAGCTTTTGCTATGTCAGGGCTAACTGTGGACGGATGAGTGGTGGGGAGGAGAGAGTGGTGGTGATGGGATATTGTGTGTGTGTGTGTGTGTGTGTGTGTGCGTGCGTGCGAAAAGATGGCAAAAGAAGAGTCAAGTGGTGATAATAAAGCAATTGGGAGGAAGGCAAGGAAAAGAAAAACCAAAAATAAATCTTGATTTTGGAACGAAAACCCCAAAGCTCCACTGAATCAGGAAAAAAAAAAGTATGCAAAATATTGAGGGTGTTTTAATTATATGTGAAAATTTAACAAGTGGAAAAAGGAAAAGCAGGCACGAGCCGACAGAGGGGTTCCGCACTGCACTGATCCACCACCCCGGCCCGTTTTAGAAAGAACAGGAACTGCGCTGTGGGTTGCTTAATGGTGCATGACACAACATTTTCATCTTATATTTGGAAAGAAGTCGCTGTGAAGCTACAAATAACTCAGAGTGGAAAATGCTACCACAAACTTTTCATAAAAGGGCTCTATTGATGGGTGCCGTTTATTTATTTAATACCTTGATGGTTCATAAAGCCATTCACTCACAGCTCTTATCATTTGTGGGTGTCAGGCTGATCCTATGGGGCAGGCAGAAGAGCAGCCGTGGCCCCTCTTCCAAAGAGGGAGAAAACGCGCCGCCAGGCCAGGATTTGACTGAAGTCAAGGGTTGCCATTGTTACCAACACTGCAAGTTCTCGTGTTCTCAACACTGCAAGTTTCCCCTCGACTGAACGATTAATTTTGCCAAGTTCACCACAGCCCCCTGAAATGCAGTCTTGTGACTGTTATAGGAACCTCAAGAAATGCTGATGCCAAACCTGGTTAGTGCCAGCAGGTTCTCCAGTGTAAAAGCAACACTCCATTCCACAGCCCAGAGCTCACTGGGCAGAACGGAGGGGCTCTGCTCAACTGAGACTCTCTTATGGCTACTCACTGGCTCACAGTGACCACACCCGCACCAGGAAAGGTACAGAAGTCTGTGAATTGCAAAACCGTTTGAATTCCTTACAGGAAAATACTGAATTTCTAGAGACCCTGAGATTTCTCCTCCTGCCTGTCCGTCCCCTCACCGTCCTGTCCAGGCTCCCTCCTGGTCTTCACGAGGCAGTCTGGGGATTCTCACCCCCAAGCCCTGCTCCGCCTTCAAGGAGGAAGCCTGGGCCTGTTTGCTGTCAACCCAGGTGAGGAGGTGGGTTTAGCTAAGCCTCCGTGGTGGGACAAAGAAGCCCCTTTTAGCTCAGACTGTTGGACACGATAAACCACGCGTGGGCACCTGCCACGAGCTGCTTTCTATGTGAGGCTCTGTGGACACAACGGCATACAGAGCAGGCAAGAGTCCTGGCCTCAGGCAGATGCCCATCTAGGACAGGAGAGAGACACTAAGTAAGAAAAGAAACTGGGCCATGATGGTAATTTTCTGTACATGCTGGGTGCTCTGAAGGCTACGAGGGAGCAGGGGTGTGGGAATGAGCCATGCTCAGATTGGGAGTGGAGGAAAACCTTTGAGGAGACTACGTTAGGGCATGATCCCAAGGACGAGAAGAGGAAGCCAGCCGTGCTGTGGGAGAGTCGGCGCGCACTCACAGACTCGGGCGCTTTGATGAACACTTTGCTCCTCCCGAGCTGGAACTGGTCGCTGTCCATGTTGACAGACTGTAGCAGGTGGAGGACACCTTGCTTCTCGTCTCCTCTCCACGAGGGCCAGGTGGCTTTGGTCAGAATGGCATACCTGTGAGGATAATCGGGAGAGAGAGATCAGGCCCGGACTGCACGGCCCCACAGAGGCACCTGGTGTGGCCGAGTCCAGGCGATCCATTCACCACTGTTTATGGCTTAGGGATGGATCTCGACAGCTGCAAAGTCCACTGGGTCTGGGATGCGTCCTCCTCCCTCCCTATCTGGCCATTTTCTCGATAACACCCTGCTGAAAAATCTACTTTTCCTCCATCCCTCCCTCCCTCCCTTTCTTTTTTTAAAATATATTTCTTTATTGATTTCAGAGAGGAAGGGAGAGGGAGAGAGAGATGGAAACATCAATGATGAGATCAATGAGTTTTGATTGGCTGCCTCCTACACGCCCCCTACTGGGGATCGAGCCCGAAACGCAGGCATGTGCCCTTGACTGGAATCAAACCCGGGACCCGACGCTCTATCCACTGAGCCATACCGGCTGGGGCTACTTTGCCTTTCTATCACTGTCTCAAGACAGCATTGCTGAAGGTCACCAATGGTACTCCTCGGGCACAATCAAATGGTCTTTTCTCAACACTGATTTCCCCTGATTTCTTCAGAGCACCTAACAGTTGCTGCGGAGTTTTACAAAGTGCCCTGTAAGCAGCTGCTATTGTTACGATGTGCCAACTTTCATCTTTGGAGGTCTGTGCATCTTGAGTCACCAGGCTAGTCTCCAGTCTCCTCTCTGCTCTCCCTTTGGCTCCCACGTTCCTGGGAGGATGGCCTCTTTGTGCACACGCAGCCATCTCCCTCCTCAGAGCCTCTGCCCTTGCTGTTCCCCCCACCAGGCGTGCTGTGCTCCAAACTCCTCCCATGGCCACTCCTGCTCAGGGCGACTTCCCTTCAGTGACACTTGCAGAGAGGCCTTTTTGGACGACCCACGCAAAAGCACCGCCTTGCTACTTCTCTCAGATAAAACCTTTTTCTTTCAGACCATGCATCATCATTTGGAATTACATTCATGCTTGTGCTTATCTGGTTAATGTATGCCTCCTCCGCGAGGACCAGAGCTCCATGAGTAGGTGTCCCCGTGTGTGGTGAAGGCTGCACATCCGGCACCTCCCAGCATGCCTGGCCCTTAGCAGTGATGCTAACGTGAATGGCTCAGGGGGGAGGTCTCTGTGGACCAGGTGCTGTTCTTGGTACTTAAATGATCTCATTTTATTCCTCAGCAACCTGATCAGGTTGGTCTTTCCACTTCGCAGAGTAGGAAAAAGGCAAATACAGACTCATCAAGGCTGCTTAGTAGTAAGTGTCAGAGCTGGGATTTGAACCCCAACCCGTTTCTTTACTCAAGGCACTACATAGAAACCACAGATTGGCCGATGTGTAAGCACTTCTTTTAAAGAGTTATATACCCTTCTCCATGTGTCTATGTTAGAAACATTAGACAGCCATACATGAGAGGCTGCCATAATGGAGGAGAGAGAAGCACATTACAGGATGTCAAATACAGAAGGTACCAAAGACTTGAGGTGAAAAGAAGAAGGATGGAAGGAGAAATCAGGAGCATACAGGTGAGAAGGTGGAGGTGTGGTCTCTAGGCAGCCATATCTAAAGAGCAGCCAGTGGACGAGCCCAGACCTCTAGAAGCCAGTCCTTCCTGTCCCGAGAAGCGGCTACAGGATCATTCATACTGATCTGTGGCCTCCAAGGGAGAAGGGAATCTTGGCAAGAAGAGTGCCTGCCTTCAGGATCCCGGGCTCCCTAAGAGGCAGAACCAGGAATTATCACACCCTTAGAGCCAGCTGATAGGGAATAAGGTGACTCTAGGGACCCTCTCTGCTCCGCCCAAATATTCACATCATGCTGATAGTGTCATAAATTTCCTGAGAAGTAAATCCTCCTATTCCATAATTAAAGACAAAAAGCTTATCAATGAGAATGCCTTGTTAAAGACATGCAAGAGCACAAATACACTTCATATGTGGTGTGATGAAGTCAATTAAACAAACAAATCCACATAGAAATGACTGATAGCAGAGCCTTTCTAGATGCCATGGGGGGACCTGGTAGAAAAGAGGCAAAGCACCCCAAATCTAAACGGCCGAGGGAGAGAAGCCCATGCCGAGGACAGGTGAGAAAGAAAAAAAAAAACCAGACCTCCAAGATGACAAGTTTCTAAGTGCAATTTTGCCTGGATTGTCAAGTACAAACTATAAACTAAAGTGTCTTTATTGTGCAATTGCAAATAGACAGCTCCTTGCAATTCACATCCTCCCCCCTGCCCCTCCCCCTCATTAAAATGGTGCTATATCTCTCATTTGATTTTTTATAGTAAGGAACTCGTTTTGCAGAGACTTTCTCTCCTTTTGCCCAGCCAGGCCTCCTGACAGTTGGGTCTGGGTAAGACATGACTACACCCTGAACCACTGTGCCGGGCCCCTTTGCTTTTATGATGCAGCCTCACTTCCTTTTCTTTCACTGGAGAGACCAGGGCATGCAATTCTGGCACAACTGTTCTTACGAAGTAAGTGCACCCAGCTCACTTGCTCATTCCAGGATACACCCTGGGAACAGGCTGTACATGGCAGTGGTGCATGCACTGCCGGATTGGTGCCTGTGATAACATTGGGAGAGATGAGCATAACGGCTTATACTCCTCCTATCAAGTATTTTCAGTTTAAGACTCAAATATGCCAACATTTCATTTCAAGGCCTTTGCACCAGCTGTCCTATCTGCCTGGAATTCTCTTCCTGCCCTTAGAGACGGGCAGGCTCCTTGTTATCTCTCAGATGACCAGCCCCATGTTTCCTCCCCAGAGGAAATGCAGCCCCGACCCCAGGGACCTCTAGCCGCTGGCACTTGGGGTTCAGAGAGTTTCTGAGTCCCCAAGGACACAACAATCCTGGCAGCCAGCGGGAGGCTCTCTACACTTCATGCTTTCCTGAGCTTCTCTTCTTTCTTCTCTCTTGCCCATGACAAGGCATGCCGCTGCTCATAAGCATCCTTCTTACAAACCCACATTCCGAGGGCCTGGGTCAAGGTCACGGTAGTAGGTATGTGGTGCTATAAGATAAATTTTGCAGATCTCTTACATTTCTACCACGTTTTTCTTCCTAAGAATCAGAATCCACATTTAGGCTTATTTCTTCCAAAGTGTTTTCTAAGGATTTATAAATACTTTCCCAAACTGAGACTCAAAGTGCCTGCCATTTCTCACAGTGTTTTTTTTTTTAAAATATGTTTTTATTGATTTCAGAGAAGAAGGGAGAGGGAGAGATAGAAACATCAACGATGAGAGAGAATCATTGATTCGTTGCCTCCTGCACACCCCACACTGGGGATCAAGCTCACAACCTGGGCATGTGCCCTGACTAGGAATCAAACCATGAACCGTGACCTCCTGGTTCCTAAGTTGATGCTCAACCACTGAGCCACACTGTCAGGCTTTTATTTTGTTTTTTAAATGTATTTTTTTATTGTTGATAGTATTACAGCTTTTCGACACTTTCTAAAGGCACGAGAGTTGTATTAAACAAGTGGTAAACAGGAGTCTTCCCTCTACTGCTTAAAACAGAAGGATTTATTTCCAGAGCACATGGCCCAGTGGTGGGAAAATTAAGGCATTACTAGCCTCCAATTCTCAGTCAAGCGGGCTATATTTGATAAATATAAAGAATTTTCTTCTCCAGCAAGATAATGAACACACACACAAAGCCCCCATCTCCTATTGATTTTTTGGAGAAATTGTATAAGAGTTTATTTGAGCCAAACTGACAACATATACCGGGGAGCAAGACCTCAAATGCTCCCTGTTTCCTCTTTTTTAAGCTGTAGGTGGTGTCTGAACCACTGGCCTGTTCAGACCTGTGGGCTTCCTTCCCAGGAGAGTGTATCATGCATGCACATGTGGATAGTTGTGCTGGGTATTAACACATCCTTTCCCTTCAGTTGCTTTCTGTTTCTCAGTGGGCAGCCTTTCTGTGGACACCTAGAAAATAACTCTAAACACAAAGCTTTTTCTCTCAGCCACGGAGAGAGTGACGGTATGAGATGGTTCACAGAGGATCACATGTTGAGACAGTCACTGGCAGACTCTGTTATGACCAGGATCCCAAGAATCACACATCAAATGGAAAACTGCATTGTCTCTGCCCATTGACATATATGGCCTTCTTTTTTGAGTGGGAGACTAAGAATGTACTTTTTATTGAAAAATAAATTTCCTTCCAAAATTTATCATCCTCCTAGTCTTCTCAAATCACATGAAGTATGAAGCCTGCTTTTCACAAGACAGGGTTGTCCATTTGTCTCTTCTAATGGAAAAGCCCACAGCAGAAGAGCTAAGAAGGGAGGCACCTAGGATAGAATCATCTTAATGTCTACTCTGGGTTTAGGAAGCCAGCATGGCGCCTGAGAGAGGGCGGGATATTAGAACCAAGGAGGTCATGTCACAGCTCGCTTCAGGAGCTGCTACAAACAGTAACACAGCCTGCTCAGGGCACCCCAGGCATTCCT